ATAACAATCCATTCTGGTTCTTTATGATCATCACTTCCTTTTTATACAGTTATCTTATTAGGACCTTATTCTAGAATCTTGCCCCAATTTATTGTTTGTAGTTTGCTGAATCTTCCATCAATTCCTTTTGAAAATTAAAATAATATGTCCCAAATTTTGTCTTCTAGAATTACTCCAGAAGTAGCTCTCTATTATTCCTCCAAGATCTTTGGCAGTGATTGTAGCAGGCTTTGGAGGATTTGGAGTGAGGCTTAGGTTCCAATGCCAGCTTATCTGCTGTGCAGTGAAGGTTAACCCAGCAAGCTTGGGTTACTCAAACCCTGTACATTCCAAAGAAAAGCCTGGCTTCTTACTGTCTCCTGGAAGACAACCTCTGAGCCCTTTACTCTTTTTTCCCAGCCTTTACCTGATAAGAATATTCTGTGTGATAAGAATATTTTTGTATGCCTGAGGCATTGGGCAACTACTGTACAGTTTGACTTCTGGGCGTTAGAGACTGAATAGCTAAGGTTCAGGCACTGTGTCTATGTGACTGATCCCTGATAAAAACATTGGACATCAAGACTCGAGTGAGCTTCCCTGATTGGCAACACTTTATACATGTTGCCACACTTCACTGCTAGGAGAACTGAATGCTGTGCATACAACCCACTGAGAGGATAACTGGAAGCTTGTGCCTGGTTTCTCCTGGACTTCATCTCATGTGCCTTTTCCTTTTGCCGATTTTAATCTGTATCCTTTCACTATAATAAATTGTAACCATAAGGAGTACAGCTTTTCTGAAACCTTGAGTCTTTCTAGTGAATCCAGTCTTACATTAGTCTTGGGGACCCCCAACCAACTTGCTCTATGCTAGTTATGTGTCCTTGGTCAAATTATCTAACCTCATTTAGTTTCAGTTTCCTCACCTGTAAAATGTGGATGATGATGATGATGATAATGATGATGATTATGATATACCTATCTTGTAGGGAAATTCTGGCATCTAGTCTATACTTTATTTTCTCCACAAGCAAACTTGAGAGATACTATAGAAATTCCAATAAAATACTAAGTGTTAGCCCATAGCCTATATTCAACAAAAGTCTGTTTCCTTAAGCAATCTCTTTTGTAAGTTATATTCTCTCTTTCCCCTCACCCCAAGATATAATAGTCTGGACCATGAGATCTAACCTCACTTAGTGCAGGGAGATGTCCTCTTCCAATCTTTTCACTCTCCTCTTATCAGATTTTTGCTCTTCCCATTTCCACCCCAAAATCATTCTCCCTGATGGAGAAGACAGGCAAAGTAAGAGCATTGGTTGGCCTTTGTCATCCATCACCTTTATCTTATCGGCCTTAAGCAGTAAATCTATCTCTTTCTTGATCTTTTGGATTTTTTCTTATTCCCAGATCATATGGATGGTAGCTTTTCTGAGATTACTCCTACATATTTGTGATTTCTAGTATTAGTCTTTTCTTATCTACCCTTCCTGTAAAAAATAAAAACACATTATTTGCTTAAATTTAAGTTTTATTTTATTGCTATTATTTTTCCTAATTACAAAAGAAATGTATGGTCAAAATTAAAACAAAGCAGATATTCATATCTTAGCAAGTAAAACTTTCTAAAGTCTGCCTCTAAAGATACCACAATATGTTTCTTCTAGACCCCGTAGCTCACAGTAGAGTTCTTGTGCAGCCAACTGATGGTTTCTTTACTTACCTTATCATTTTCCTCCCTATTAGGATAATTTTCAATGGCATAGACAGAATATTTTTTTAAATAGTTTTCCAGCTCTCTCAAATTTCCTTATGGAAATCATGAAAAGATGGACCATGTCCATGTTTTCTCTGAACTTTTAGAAACTATGACTTTCTCAAGTCTACCATACAGGTTTGAGCATCCTCAGCTTTCTCTTCCCAGTTATCAGGAACACTTTGTTGTGCTTCAGTTTTACAAGGAAGGACTTGGGCTATATGGTTTAAAAGTTCTCATCATGCACCCCTTTCTATGATTCTATCAATGATAGGAAGTTGCACAGGTGAACAACATCTGGAGAAGCCTTTGTGAAGAACAGCTTTCCCAGGCATACATGCCTATGGCAGGGATCAGAGAAGTGTCCCAAGAATGGAACCAGGGGGGAGCCAGTGACAGATGTGGAGCTAGCAACTCTTGGAGGCAAATGGGTAGATGAAGGAAATGTGGAAGCTTGACTAGAAAGTTGGAGTCTTCTTATGTGGCATTAGGTAGTTTTATTCTCTTTTCATACATGCCTATGGCAGGGATCAGAGAAGTGTCCCAAGAATGGAACCAGGGGGGAGCCAGTGACAGATGTGGAGTCTTGTTGATTTTTGAGTCTTATCAATTAGCTAGCAACTCTTGGAGGCAAATGGGTAGATGAAGGCAACGTGGAAGCTTGACTAGAAAGTTGGAGTCTTCTTATGTGGCATTAGGTAGTTTTATTCTCTTTGCCTCAGTTCCATATATACAAAACGAGATTAAGACATTTGAAGCCATGCGTGGTAAGCTACACTTTTAATATGCATCTATTATTTTTTGTGTTCAGCACTCCACTTTTTGGGGAACTGGCACTAACCCCCCTTTATGGAGGTTTTACTGGAGCTGCCATTTTTATTCATTAATTTCTTCAACAAATATTTATTAAGTGCTATATCTGACACTATTCTGTGCTCTGGAGATACAGCAATGAATAGAACATTCTTGTCTTCATAGAGCCTTTTGGAGCTTATATTCTGATAGAGGGATTCAGACTAAAGACATTTGAAGCCATGCGTGGTAAGCTACAATTTTAATATGCATCTATTATTTTATGTGTTCAGCACTCCACTTTTTGGGGAACTGGCACTAACCCCCCTTTATGGAGGTTTTACTGGAGCTGCCATTTTTATTCATTCATTTCTTCAACAAATATTTATTAAGTGCTATATATGACACTATTCTGCGCTCTGGAGATACAGCAATGAGTAGAACATTCTTGTCTTCATAGAGCCTTTTGGAGCTTATATTCTGATAGAGGGATTCAGACTTAAACAAAATTAGTAAAATATGTAGTATGTCAGATGAGATATGCTACGGAGAAAAATAAAGTGGGAAAGTGAGTTAGGAAAGTGCTGTGGCAGAGCGAGGTACTATGCTCTATAGGTGGTCAGGAGTGACTTCATCCAAAAAATTTTCAGAGTTGGGTCAAAACAGAATAGTTTAAGCCAAGAATGTGGAATGAGGAGCAGGAAAAAAGGCTGTTAGAAGCAAGAGAGAAGAATGAAGAAGACACAAGAGAGTAGCATGAAAGAGGATGTGCAGCCAGAGAGAGAGAGAGAGAGAGAGAGAACTTCCCAGGTTCTGAATAGCATTCCAGTGTACTTCTGATAAGTCCTTTCCCCCTCCTAAACTGGTATGAATTAGTTTCTGTTGCTTCTAACCAAAGAGTCCTAACTCATACATGGATTAAGTAAGATGACCTGTGAATTCAAGCCTTGCCCAATGTGGGAGATGTTGGTTACCTCAGAAAATTAGAGCTTGGTGCTTCTGATGCCAAGAATGCAATTTGATAGCAGAGTAGTATTAATTTTGTTGTGCCCCCACATCCCAGAGATCACATGTCCAAGAAATATCTGTTTCTTTGTTTTCTTTAAATCAAATTAACTGATTCTGCACTAGGCTGATAAAAACTCAGTTGTAAGCATTACTCACTACCCCTAGTCTGCCCTACATCTGTATCCTCCACCCAGAGTCACAAAAGAATTAAGAATGCTTGCTGATGTCTGGACAATTCGGAAAAGGCCCTCTAATTTCCAGGGCATCATTGCTCAAGTGTGCAACCTTCCCTTAAAGTCCCTGGCTCTCTGCTTCCATGCCAAGAGGAGAATACAGAAATCTTTGCTGAGACTAAAGGACACCTTGCTCACTAGGGTGCAGCCATTCCTTCTGATGTTGTGCCACCTTCCCTGGAAAGGAAAAATCTGGAAGCAGGCTCAGATATCCACTAATCATGCAACATGCCAATCTTTCACTTTCTCTCTCTTTATTCTCAGATATTCTCAGAATAATTCTCTTTTTCTTTGCCTCGAAGGCACCCCATGCCTAGTTTTTTCAGTTAGTGGCTTTTATAATAGACCACAGAGTAGGTGACTTCCTTCTAGGAGCTCCAACTTCCATCCTGCAAAAACTCTCCCAAAGGATTTTTTCTTTCCTTTTTCTTTTCTTTTTTCCCCCCACAGGCCTACTACGTGTGAGGCATTTGGGATATAGCAATGAACAGGGTACTCAGGTTCCTTGCTCTAATAGAGCTGACATTCAGATGTATTTTGATCCTGAACCGTGAACACAAGAGCACGACGAATCGAATGAAGCAGGAAGCATGGATCTTCACAAGCCACAGCATAAGACAGAAATTTAAATTTTCTGTTCTTGAATGTTGGGTTCTCTTAGTTCCGGGGGACGGAGGGAGTCGGCGGGATGTGACGAGATTTCCTACCGAAAATATGCAGACTTGGTGTTTGGATTCAGCAGTTTAGGACTGCAACCCCAAATTACTCCTGCACCGAGGGAGAGAACATACCCAGGGATAAAAAGTGGAGTGGGGAAGGGGGGATGGGCAGGGAACAGGGGATAATTGGGTGGGGACACGGAGTATAATCACAATTTGTAGTAATGGGCATGCTGCCAGTATGGATGGCACATCTTGGGCATGAGTGGTGACAATTAGCTTTGTACGCCATGAATATTCATAACCAATAAAAAATAAAAATAAATAAATAAATAACAAATTACGCCTTCAGCATGGAACTAACCCCACATAAAAAGCAGACAGGATTATAGGAGGAAAACGACTCCATCAGAACCCTCAGACGGCAAAGCAAGCCTTTTCCTCCTCATGGAAAAGCCATGAACTACATTTCCCACAAGCCCTTGCGACCCAGCCTGCCTTGAAGTGTGGGGAAGAGGGGCCTGTCGGGCGCACTCTTGTTGCGTCATCAGTGTGCGCCTCTAAGATAAAACACAGGTCTAGCTGCAGGAGTATGGCAGGTGCTGAGGCGGCGGTGGTGGTGTCGTCTTTGCAAACAAACGCAGTCCCAGTCCCTGAAACTGTAGGTACAGCTGCAGCAACGACCGCAACCTCGCAAGCGACGGCTGCAGCCGCTGCTGTTGCGGCCGCGGCCACCACTGAATCCGAAGCCAGGGTCTCCAAGGCCGCTATGGCTACTAAGCTCCTGTCCCTGAGCGGCGTGTTCGCTGTGCACAAGCCCAAAGGGCCCACTTCAGCCGAGCTGCTGAATCGGTTGAAGGAGAAGCTGCTGGCAGGTACTGCAGCCAGGGTGGGGACCAGGCTGAGGCGGTCACCGCGAAAGGGGAAGCACACAGGCTTTTAGCGACTTTCGTGGCTCAAGAGATAAAAGGAAGGGAAAGGGAGAACGACCACTTAATTAGCTCAGGTTAGAAGTCTGGGGAAACTCGGCCTTGGACTTGCCCTGGCCGGAATTCCTGTAGTCTACTTGTCATTTGTTCTCAAGGGAAAGGAAACACCCCCCCCACACTTACACAATAAACCTCTGCTCCCGGGCGGGCGTGCAGACAGGTTTCTGTGATTTGATCCCTTAAGAGGCTTCTGTTTGGTTCACGTGGATGAACCCCACTCCGAGGAAGCATTGGTTTTGTTCCTTAAAAGTTGAATTCTTAAAAATATACTGGAAATGCAGATATAATTAAGCAAGACTTAAGACAGTAGTTTTCACATTTTAGTGGGCTGAAGAATTAGAGTTCCTTGTACAAATGTAGATTCCTAATCCCTGCCCTGCCAGAGATTGTGATTCTGATGGTTCAGGGTATTTTTAGGAATTTGCATTTTTAAAGTTTGTCCAGGTGGTTCTGGTGTAAGTTATTTATGGACCACATTTTGAGGAACACTAAAAATAACTTGGTCACTATTCTGTGAACATTCTTTTTGTTTGTTTATTCCTATACTGTGGGAAAATATTAGAAAAGCTTGAAGGATTACACAGTTCATCAGCCTAGTATATCATTTCAGACAGTGACATCAAAGAACCTTACGTTTATTGGACACTCACACTAAGCTAAATCTGTGCTCTCCTATAGAGACATGAAAATGAAAGACACTGTATCTTCCCCTAACTGAGCTCATAGCCTAGTAAGTTCTGCATCTTTTGATGGTAAAACTATTTAGGTTATTCGAGGCCCTCCAAAGATTGGACCTAGCCTGTCTTGCCATTAAACCAGTATAGGGATTTTCTTTTTACATTGTTTAGTATCCCCTGGCAAACTTTATACTTTTTTTGAAAAAGGCAAAAACAAATTATTCTGATAGAAATTTGTTAATTATAACTGACACAATAGAGCTTAAAATGTTTATTGGCAAGTAGGTAAACTCTTGCAGATGTTTAATTCCAGTGTTACATATGTTCATTCTTTTGTTAAGCTTTCCTAATATTTTGTTGCCTGTAAGGATGGGTTGTATAGGAGAGGCTGAAGCAAGGAATTGCATGGATAGCGAGCATAGTGGTGTCATTATTGGCTTTTTTTTCCTTCATAAATTGTTGCTTTCATTTGGCCTGATTTGTTAGCAAACTATGGCTTTTTTGATCCTTAAGGTAATGATCATTCTTTCTCAGACAAGTTTCTGACAATATCACAGCCATAGCCTGGTCTTCTGCTTAATCTGCCTTCAAGAACTGAAGTTTCTTGTTGAAACTTGGTTAAAACTGATTTTAAGGCTGTTGCTAGGCCATCTTCTGGAAGCCATTCATTTAGGTGTAGACGTTCTCATGACCCTCCACTTCTATATTGCTGTGATTGGATTATTTTATATTTAGGTTAGCGGGACTAGTGCTTCCCAATTGCCATTCTAACTGACTGTCAGAATTACAGGAGAGGATTCTTCAAGGTACAACATTCTGATGCCAGCCAGGTTTGCCACAGTCCACAGGTTCGCCACTGCTTCAGGCCACTGTTGATGGTCATGGCCTGTAATAACATTCCTTGCCTTTTCTTACACTGATTCCTGCCATACTAGAATCCTGACTCTTTTTTCTCTGTCCTTCAAGGCCGGAAACATATCAGAGTCTTATAGCTAGAGCAGACCTTAATAAATATTCATTCGTGAAATTTGATTCAGTGGTGTGAACCAAATTCCACTATAGGAGAGGTGGTATATTTGCAATTTAGAAAGAGGTAAATTTGGGCACGAAGGGAAGACAGTAAATTTATGGGGCCTTCGTACTTCAAGGAGTGGCAAGTCGAAAATATGAGTTCACCAAAGGTTTTTATAAATTCATGGATGGAGAGATCCATGATGGATTGCAAGTGAAAAGTGAAGGGTCAGAAGCTTAGGCCTGCCTTAGAGGTTAATGTCAAAGCAGACAGTTGTGCTCTTCTAAGCATGGCGATATCATAATCAGAGAGTGACACCAGGACTGTGTTCCAGATACCATGCTTCTCACTCAGCTGGGCGGTAATTATGCTGGGAGGCTGAGCAACCCAGCGCATCCTTTTGGCCATTTAATCTGACTTATCCACTTCCACTGTTGCTTTGCTTTCTCCTTGTACTTTCTGTCCTCTCTTTTTGCTTTCTTTTGCTGTATTTTCTGTCTTCTTGGTGTCATTGGTGATAAGGAAGATTTGGTGGGTCTGAGAGGAACAGATCATACAGCTGTTCCTGCTCTTCTCACCTTTCTCTTTTGAAGTCCAGTAGCCAGTATTCATCATCATCATCATAACAACTTAACACTTTGTGGTTTCCAAAGCACTTTCAGATGACATTATTTCATTTTATCTTTACAACAGGGTTATAAAATAAGCCAGATTGGCATCTCTTTTATTTATTTATTTATTTTGAATCTAAATGATTTGGAGGGTAAGAGGCAATTTAACTGTTACCTGTTTCCCACATAACCTTTTGTTAAGATTAGCTTCTTTAATGAATTGAGAGTTTTGATTAAGCAAGGGGGACATCGAATTCAGGTAGTTTGGGAACCTAGCATACTTAGAAGTAGCCCTGCATGAAATGTGGTCCCAACATTAGGTAGCTGGAGGTTTCAGCAAAGAACACCAGGAAAGGGAAGAGATTTAGAAATGGAAATTGAGGACTTATGAAACTGTCTGTATTAAAATTAACTTATCTTCATCATTGTCTATCTAACAGTCCACTACTACCAGGCATTTACTAGAGTTTTGTGGATTAGCCTAGATAATTTACCCACTTTTTTAAAATGTCTTTTTTCTTAGAAAATGAATTCTAGCTCCTAGACAACTAATTTTGAAATACTATTTCTTTGTAATTTAGGGAGCATCTGAACATTTTAAAATCTTTTCTTTGCCAGTAATGTGGTCATAGTCTTAATATGTTAAGTTTATACAATGCTTTTTATTTGTTTTGAATATATCATCCTCTCTTCCCTCTATATTTATGGAGATCCTGCTTCATTTATCTTGGTAATTAACTTTTTTCATTTCAATTACTCTCATAGAAGCTGGGATGCCTTCTCCAGAATGGACCAAGAGAAAAAAGCAGACTTTGAAAATTGGACATGGAGGGACACTAGATAGCGCAGCCCGAGGAGTTCTGGGTAAGAGATATGAAAAGAAGTTTAATGTAACTGTCACTAAATATCAGAAAGAAATATTGGTTGAGAAGAGATTGATTAAAGCCATGCCATTTTATATCTACTTTGGGATGTTTCACATCCAGTGGATTTATAGTGCCATCTTCTAAAGAAGCCCTTAAATGGTACAAGGTACACAAAGCTATTAAAATAGCTACTTTTATGTGTGGACTTTGAAAACAGGGGTTTGCAACTATGCAGAAAAGAGTTCACATAGCAGGTCTGAAATTGCTATTTTAGAAAGGCCTGCTTGCAAGGCCTCCATCTGGGAACTTAATTTTTGGGAGTGTTCCCACCCTTCCTTATCTGATAAGAATGGTTTGCTGTGTCTGGACTGTTTATGTGAACACCTGCTTTCCTTCTAGGAATCTGGAATTTTGTCCCACTGCACAGGCAGAGGGTGCTTGGGTGACCATTCCCCCAACCTCCCTATACAAACTTTGGATACTGAGTTTCTAATGAGCTTCCCTGAGAGAAACATCACACACGTGTTATTGCTTTTACTGTTGTTAGACAAAGGAGCATGGTCAAGTGTTCCCCCACATAGGAGGGCGAGAGAATAAGGAAGCCTGTGCTTGGATTTCTCCAGTGTCTTTTTCTTATGATCCAGCTGTATATCCTTACTGCGTCACTGTAATAAATCTGAGCTGTGCAGGAAACTTCCAACGTGGGATGATCGTGGGGACTACTGATAAGGGATACAGCTCTTTTATCTGCCTGTGTTTAATCTGATCTGAGATCAGCTCCCTTGAGAAGGTGAACCTTATAGTTCTTGAGAAGAAGTCATTTTCTCCTGGAAATGTATTAGTTGGTCATTTTATAGCTTGTGGAAGAAAATCATTTATCCTTTTTCATTCCATCTTTTAAAAAAAATTTTTTTTCATCTGGTAGAGGTTCTGAAGTCTATCTTTGGGGACTGCTAAAGTGTATATCCACAAGCTAGGATATATTTTACAAACATTTTCTGTAACTGAACCCATAGTCACTCAAATACATACATTGAGATTCTCCCCACTGCCTCTTTCCCCACATACTAGATACAATCTTTTCTGGAACAATACTTACATTTTTACTTGCTCTAGTGTTCTATATTTTATTTGATTTCAATTTTTTTTCATCTGGTAGAGGTTCTGAAGTCTATCTTTGGGGACTGCTAAAGTGTATATCCACAAGCTAGGATATATTTTACAAACATTTTCTGAAACTGAACCCATAGTCACTCAAATACATACATTGAGATTCTCCCCACTGCCTCTTTCCCCACATACTAGATACAAACTTTTCTGGAACAATACTTACATTTTTACTTGCTCTAGTGTTCTATATTTTATTTGATTTCATTTTTTAAAAATGTTGATTGTTACCCATTAAATTGTTTTCTTGATGCACTAATGTGTTGTGACTCATGGTTTGTAAAATACTGTGCTACAGTATTCTAATAAAATTAGATACAAACAAATAACAACAATCTTTATCTAAGCTATCCAAAGAAAATGAGTGCTTATTTAAAAGAAAAGAATAAAATTGATGAAGAAAATCTTTTTCAAGAAAATTAGAAACAATATATGTGTAGTGGATTGAATTATGTCCTCCCAAAACTCACTGAAGCTTGAATTGTGTCCCCCAAGTTTAATGTATTAGAAACTTGGTCTCTACTGTGACTGTAAGAGGGTGGGAAATCCTATTATGGTAATTGAATAGTGGGGCCTTGAAGAGGTGATTAGATTGTAGGACCCTGCAGTAGTGAATGAGTTAAAAATGGTGGCCAGGGGCATGGTTCTGAGGACTTTAAAAGAAGAGGACAGTCTCTCTCTCTCTTTCTCTCTCTCTCTTTCTCTCTTTTTCTCTCTCTCTCGTTTCCACCATCTTGCAATGTGAGACCCCTGAGTCACTGTTGCCACTAACAGATCACCAGATGGATTTTGGACTTCCCAGCCGAAACTGTAAGCAATAAATTTCATTTTCTTTATAAATCACCCAGTTCTTTAGTATTTGTTGTAAGCAACAGAAACGGACTAATACAATATGATTTTGCATTTTGCTAAAATTATAGATTTTATTTAATTCATGTTGGAAAAAATATCTTTACTTGAGGTTAAAATAGAAAGAAATCACAAGGAAATCTGTTTTCCTGAATTTGAGAACTTGAATACACAAATTTTGACAACTTAAAATTACTGTTTCCTATAATAACTAATGATAAAGCATTTATTGAGTGCTTACTGTATACGAGGTCCTTGGTTTAGGGCATTCATAAATTATATACTTCGATTCTTATTGTAACCTATAAGGTGGGTATTATAATCCCCATTTTACAGAAGAAGAAACAAAAACCCAGAGAGATAAAGTAACATGTTCATTGTCATAGAGTTAGTGAGTGGCAAACTCAGGATTTGGACCCAGGTCTGTACAGTTCAAAAGCCTCTGCCCTAAAGTGGGATGTCAGATACCTGGTACTCCTCCGTTTTGTTCCCTCTGCCCTATGCCTGTTACAGTTACCAATCACAGATTTCTTTGCTGTTGGTTCTAGAAGTGGCTTCATGATTCTTATCAGCTCAGCACTCCAGGTAACCTCTACCAGTTGATTAAAGTTGGCCTTTGAGTTGAAGCCTATTTGTCCCAACCATTCTACTCTCCTGCTTTCCAAGGCACAGCTCGATAAACATAAGAAAAGAGAGGATAAGATCTACTATTTATTTGTGAATAGACCAATCATCTTAATTTTTGGTGGTTGTTCCTCATTGGTATGCAGAAAATAGTGATATTCAAGGCAGTTAATGAAATAATTTTTAGATAAACATAAGAAAAGAGAGGATAAGATCTACTATTTATTTGTGAATAGACCAATCATCTTAATTTTTGGTGTTGTTCCTCATTGGTATGCAGAAAATAGTGATATTCAAGGCAGTTAATGAAATAATTTTTACACTGAACTTAAGGGATCTTGTGGAAGCTTCCATTTTGGTATTATGGAGGGGCTAAAATTTGTATGTGTGGAAGAAATTGTATTGGTAATAATTTTTCATTGGGAGGCTTATAATTCTATAACATAATTATAAGAGGGCTTGAAAAATTCTCAAAAATACTGTGGTAGGCATAATTATTGTTCCCTAGAGACATTTGCTTCCTAATCTCCAGAACCTATGTTAGGTTACGTCACAAGGGGGGGATTAAAGTTGCAGATAGAATTAATGTTGCTAATCAGGTGACTGTAAGCTAAGGAGATTAGCCTGGAGTTTCCAGGTGGACCCAATATAATCACAAGGGTCTTTGAAAGTGGAAAAGGAGGCAGGAGATAGGGGAATGTGGCAATGGAAGGAGAGATTGGAGTGATGTGATTTCTAGCTTTGAAGAAGGAAGGGGATCACAAGCCAAGGAATGTGAGGAGCCTCTAGAAGCTGGTAAAGGCGAGAAAATTCTCAGAGGGAGGCTTTCCTGAAGGATTCTTCCTGATGGCCTCTGGAGAAGAATGCAGCCATGCCAACCTCTTGATTTTTAGCCTAGTAAAACTCATTTCAGACTTCTGACAATAAGATAAAACATTTATATTATTTTAAGTCACTAAGTTGGTAATGTGTTACAGTAGCAATAGGAAACTAATATACCCATGTATCGTAAATCACTTAAAATGGAAACTAAATTTCTGTGTACTGCTTTATAAAAGCACAGTTGGGAGATTTAGTAAAAGCAAAGTTGAAAATAAAAAATTATTTTTCCACTTCCCACCAGTAATCACTATTAACATTTTTGCTACATTTTCTCCTAGCATTTTATCTGTGCAGTTTTAAAAAGTTGAGCTCTACTGTATGTTCTTCTATATCCTGTTTTTTTTTTTAACTTTATAACATAAGCGTTTACGTTAATTTTAAAACTCTTTGTAAACATTATTTTTAATGGCTACATAATGTGCTGTCCATATGGGTAAAATACAGCTTAACCATTTTTCTATTTGAGGTCATTTATGTTTTTACTAGAGTTTTGTTAGTAGAACTGATTTTGTGAGGAACATCATTATGAATGGAAGTATTTCATTGCTTTGGATCATTAAGATGGATTCCTAGAATTGGAAAGATAAAAGTCTTTTGAGATGATCAAAAAGGTGTTACAGAATTAGCAAATGGCAGTAGAAACTTCGAGCTGCAGAAAGTTTTGGAAAATATGTGTATAGTACCCTTGCCTGTCATGAAGTGGTTCTCATCAAAAACAAATTCTGTCTTTATGATTTGACAATAGAATACTAGGACATTGGATGGGTTTGAAGATAGTGGGTTTTTTACAGACATAACCTTTGAGCACAGAAAATGTGAGAGGTGGAGAGAGAGAGTAGTGATTGTGAGACAGTAATTGACATGAGACAGCATGGAAAACCCTGATATTCATCCATTCTCTAAATTCTCTACACTTTTTAAAGCAGTGTGTCTTTGCTCATGCTTTCCTTTTCATATAAACTGTTTATCTCTGTTCTCAACTTTAGTTGTAGAGATCGTACTAACCTTTCCAGGTTTCAGCTGAAATGCTGCCTTATGTGTGAAGGCCACCCACTTGTGCTTCTATACTGCTCGTGTAAAAACTTCCTTCATTCTGTTCTCTATTTTTTTTTTAAACATCTGTTTCTCTATTTGGTTGTTAACTCACTGATGGATGAAGCCAGGGCTTACAAAGTACTGAATAAAATTTCGAATGATTGAATGGGGGAAAAAAGCCAAGTAAAAATTCTTCCCAGGAAACTGTCCCTTGAATTTTCATTTGTATCCTTGAATGAAAAGCTCCTGGTTGGCTGGGTCCCAACTCCAGATAATTTTTCTACATGACACCTCTGTATTAGTCTTCCTAAAATTCTGTTTTCACTAATCACCTAACTTCAATGGGCCTTGATTTTTTTTTAGATATAAAATGAAAAGGTTAATCTGGATAACTCTAACATGGCTTCTTTTACATTTTATCATTCTGGATCACTTCACTAACTCAGAAACTATCTTCAGTTCAGCATTTCAACCATGCTAAAGCCAAGCATGTCAGCCTGCTGTTAAGACACCCTGTACTCTGGTTGATAACCCACTGTGCTCATCCTTGTATCTGGGAATTTGTGCAGTTTGTTTCTTCTTTAGGACATGATTCTCTTCTTTCTGTGTGTTCAAGTCCTACACCTTCTTAAGGGCCTAACTCAAACTCTGAAATGCTTGAAGGAAGCATTCTCTTGCCTCTTTAGCCATTTAGAGTGCTCTCTCCTTTGACCTCATACCGCAACTATTGTCTGTTCATCTTGACACTTAATAATATACTATCACATTGTTATTTAGTGTTATTCACTTATTAATTCAGGCAATTTTGGAGCAATGTGATTTCCCTTGTCTATATTTTATTTTCCCAATGAGATTATAAGCTCTTTCAAAAGCAGGAAATGTGTCTCAGGCTTCTTTGTTGTCCCGTTAGAAGTATTCGTTTTGGGACTATGTGCATAGTAGCTCTTCAAAAAATATTGATTGGGGATTCATTAGAATAGAATCAGATTGCATTGAATCTTTGTTGTTATTATACAAAGTTTTTGCCTCATCAATAGCAGTATCAACAAATCCTGTCATTTGAAGAGTGTTGTGCTCTTTAAAGGATACTGAAGGCAGTTTTTGATTTAGTCCTTGAACTAATATGGCTCTAGAGATAAAGGATCAATATGAAATCCTGTCATTTGAAGAGTGTTGTGCTCTTTAAAGGATACTGAAGGCAGTTTTTGATTTAGTCCTTGAACTAATATGGCTCTAGAGATAAAGGATCAATATGAATGAGTATCACAGACATTTATTTATTTAATTTTTTTTTAAAGTTTATTTTTTAATATTATTGTTTTGCAGTCTGTGATGTTGCAGAGCAGTTGGGAGGGAAGGAGTGTAAGGGGGAAGGAAATAGGGTGGGAGAAGGAGGAAGGAGGAGGGGTGGGTTGAGGCCTGTGGCACCCCCTTCATTCCTGCAGGGGAGGCCAGAGGGCTTCCAGCGGTGTCTTGGTCATTGCTGGGTTGGGTGCAGATATCAGATGGGTGTGGCTGAAGCACTTGCCCCCTCCCCCCCCCACTTCCCCAGATCGGGAGCCTGGGGTGCTTCTTGCAGCAGCTCAGTAATCATTGCTGGACTGGTTGCAGATGTCTTGTGGTAGGATGGCTGAGGCCCTCAGCCCCCCACTGCCATGGCTTGGGAGTGCCCGGGGTGCTACCTGTGGCCACTTGGCAGTCGTCACGGGGCTGGCTGTGGGTGTGAGAGGGGCCTCCCTCCTCCCTGGCTTGGTAGCCCAGGGAAATTCTGGTCCTAGGTTTTACAAGTGTTCTTTGATGATGTGAGACCTTTACAAGTTAGTATCAAACTTTGTCTCTGGTCTGTGGGTATTTTGTTTTTTCTTCCAGTTCTGTGTTAGATTATTTGCTGTTTCTACCATTTAAACTCTGCACTGGAACTAATTTGTTGTCTTTTACTTCTACAATGGGGGAACTTCCTGTGGGGACCAGCACTTGAGCTCTGTGGTTGAGCTAAATTGTTGCTTTGCTGCTGATTCCCTGTGGAAAGCTTTTTGTGCAGCTAAGGTTTTAATGGTTGACTTTATTGGTACTTCTGGCTCTCATGAGGTCTGGTACACCCGGATTGTGTAGAAACTCTGGCCTGAAATTGTGTAGAAATGTCTGGGCCTGAGTCTTTGAATCAAACTGCACCCCTTGCAATTCTATATTCCTGATCAGTTTCCTCTGAATGGTACTTCGCTGATTGGGGGTCAGATCAGCTGTCCTCACCGTGTCCTAGTGTTCTCAAGTGGGCCCATCTCCCACACCACCCATGCTCCCAACACTTCCCATGTGACTGGCCATGCACTGGTCCCTTGGGATGACTCACCAGCCTCTGAGTGGCTCCATTTTTTTCAGTTGTTCTGGCTCCTCGCTCTTATGTGGGTCCATGGGAACCCTATTAGTGATCTTGCTGGCCTGTGGGTCACCAAGACCCTCTTCTCCCCTACTGCCTCCAAGCAACTCCATCTGGAGGGCACAGCTGCAGCTTCTGCCAACTCCTGCTCCATGCACTCAGCAGTTCCAGCCTGGAAGTGACCGGGGCTCAAAATGGTCAGAGCCGTTCTTTCTTTCTCTCAGCATGGCTTCTCCCGCCTTCATGCACTCTGTGCGTCTCTCCTCCTCTTCCCCTGAGCTCTAGCAGCCCCAGCTTGGCTGTCATTGCTTTTAATAGTTGTAAATTGGTTGATTTGTGGGAGAGAGAGATGCTGGTGACCGTCTATTCCACCATCTTGACTGGAAGCCCCATAGAAACTTAGAGGGGGTTTGGAATAGACTTTATGAATGAGTTGGGACTTGAACTGGGCTTCAAAGGACAGACTTTGAATATGTTACAAAGGAGTAATCCTCTAGGCATTGGGATGCTATTAAGGATTGTTGGGGGCTTTGTAGTGTGCAAAATATAGTTTCAAAAATGGTTATGAAATGGTATGAACTGGAAGAGGAAGGAACAGGTTGTAGAACAGCCAGATGTGCAGTGGTTTAGGTTGGTGGCAGTGGGAAGAAAGCCTAGATGAATAAGGTGGCAGAGGGAATGAAAAGAAAGGGGTCTGCTGCCAGATAGTTTGGTTTGAATTTTAACTGCCCCAAGTATTAGTTGTGAGTTGCTGGGCAGAGTTCTTAGTCTCTTTGTGTCTCAGTTTCCACATCTATAAAATAGGTATAATTATATGACCTTTTAAGGTTGTTATAAGGATTAAATGAAATAACTAATGGAAGGCGTTTAGAGTGGAACCTGGTACATGGTAAACTCATTGAATGATATCTATTATAAATATTGATGATAATTTTTTCACTTTGCCTATATGGTAATTCTGAATTGTGGTTGTATTGTATTCTTATACACAATTGTATTTGCTAATGATAAGGACTTCAATTCTTACAAAAATTTGCTTGCTATTAAGTGAAGAAATCATTAAATCCTCTCAACCACACCTGGTGAAATGTGTTGTTATAAGGATAAATTAAGTTTGAAGTTGAAGAAAATGGTGGGCCATTGTTGTACTTTATGTTTGGTCTCTGTTAAAATATATTCTCCAGGCCCTCATTTCACCCTGTGTTCTTCTTTGTATTAGGTTGGTTTGTCATGTTTTCCTTTTCTTGATTGTATACTGCTGGGCACTGATCATCATTAAATGGTTCGTTAGCTATGGTGATGGCTTTTGCTTTGTTTAATAATGAATTCTGTCAAAAGACTTTATAATTATAGCATGTATTTTTCACTGATGTCTGTATAAAATTCTAGTGAGTCCTTTGAGATTGTTCTAAAACTTTATTATCTAATTGGCTGGGTTGAGGAAGTTTCTACCATTTTTAATACCTTGAGAATGGAGGGGAAAAAAGTCTCCCATTCCCTGTTCAGAATTTCTTAGTTGCATGACAAGTTCAACTGACTGGAGTAACAGGAGCCCTCAAATTATGCTAAATGTATGCTCTTTCCAACTTCACATTACATAGGTCAGGAAATTATGACCAAAATATGTAGCTATTTTAAAAACCTAGTTTTCAGAATAGAGTTTTCATTATATTTCTTTCTTTGATTTGCAGTGGTTGGAATTGGAAGGGGAACAAAAATGTTGACCAGTATGTTATCAGGGTCCAAGGTAAGAATACGGAAGAGTTCTATTTTTCTTTGTTTTCTTAATGACCTATGTGTTGAATTTTATCATTTAAAAAATAAACTGTACAAATTACATGAACAAGTGTCATTCCTGAGTATTAATCACAATGTCTATAAACATGGTATCTGAGATTCAAAATATTGAGACCATCAATTGGAAATTCTTTATTGAAAAATTAGACTTAAGCAAAAACTCTGTAGTACTCATAATTTTAAAAAGTTATATTTAGATGTTTAAAATATCATATTTCTTAGATGAAAGGGAATTTATAGGTTATAAATTCTATTGGAAGATTTCATTAAACCTTGGAATTTTTATAGAAACAGTACTGTTTTGTTAACCAGGCACTTTTTCAACAAAAGCATGCTTTGTTCAGTGGTTACAAAGTGTTTATTAAAGAAAAGAGTAGGGCCTCTTTAAGATGATAAATTATATTGTTCATTCATGAAAGATCCAAAAGCATTTGTTCAGGCACTTGATAGGAGAGAGAGGACGGGTTATTTGGAGGTGGGATGGGGGTGGGGGATGGAAACCTGTGGACTGCTTCAGGCATTTAGCAAGGGGAAACAAGTCAAGATGTCACAGTGGTTAACGTCCCTGGGCCTCTCAGTTTTTCCTTAGGAAAAATGACTAGGGTCTTTTCCAGCTCTGAAAGATAATAATGTCTGTATGCTAATTAGCAATTAGATGCTAGTTTTAATAGCTGGGGCTAGGGGCCAGTGAAAATGTCCATTGAAGGCAGATTAAGTTGCCAGTTGGTAGAGAAGAATTTTATTACGTTCCTGGACTGAACTTTTTATTTGTTTTAAAACTCTTGTTCTAAATGCAATATAAATAGTAAAGTGATTTTGTCTAAATTGTTTCTTTAAAAAAAATGTGGTCAAACACCATTTAAAAGATTTTCTATTTCATTGTAGACTGATTTTTTGTAAAATATAATTAAAATGTTATTGCAGCATCAAATTGATAAATAAGTTTCTAAACACCCTCATTTTCTGAACTCATCCCATCATGGATTCTGGCCCACGGACCATACTTTGAGTGGCAGTGTTCTAAGTAAGCTTTAGCATATTGCCTGTGATAATCACATTTTAGTTATCAACTGGCATAAAAACCTGTGCCTTTAGGTTGGAAGGGTTCTTAGTGCCTTAGGTAAATGAAAAATACCAATTTGACTTTTTATGCGATCTTCAAAATATTGAAAAATCACAGAATACAAAAATCAGAATGGAGGCATTTGACTGTCTCCCAGTAAATTTGTACATTGTGCTTAAATACTGACACACAGAGTTTAGAATCTGTTTCTGATACAGGTTTTTGCAAGTTACTTAATACTTGTTTATTAACTCCAAAATATGAGCAGTAGTTACTTTACTATGGGATTATGGATGATTTTCTTTTCTTTTTTTTTTTTATATTATTTGGTATTTTCTAAAATCTTTACAATAAACAAGTTGTTTTTATATTAATAACACAAAAGATATGTTTGCATTAAGGAATTTGTTTGGGGTTTTCCGGCAAGTTAAAATGTGTTGAATTCATTGAAATAGTCATTATTCACCTCTCCCTGCAAAACTACAAACACGCAAAACACACTGTATGTCCTTGAAAGGTTTTACTTGTAAATTCCAGGCATATCTTCAGAGATATGATGACTGAAAATGTAAATGGCTCTGGTTTAAGTTTTATTTGTCACAAACCATTTTGCTATTCAGCTAGGAAAGCTGAATGTCATTAGTGAAATCACTGATCCTCAGCTGACTGTAACATGAATAAGAATATCCCAGGTGCATTTTGTTACAGAAAACTGGTTCCTGGGTGTTTCACATGTCAAAAATAGACATCATTTTCTTGTTGGCTATTTGTGTTTATTACACTTTTAATTTTATATATTTGTTGAAAGAAGAAATAAATGATTTAAATTTTTCCTGTAGGTATGTTGAAGATTACATTTTTATCAAAAGTAATTAAAAACTTAATATTTTTCTGATAGTCTTTTTTTTTTTTAAAGCTCTGGAAGGAATCTTAGAGATCATCTTATCTAGTGACTATACAAATTGTTTGACTAAGACCCATAATAAGAAATTTGTTTTACATCATGACCCTGTGTACACATACATGTTAAAGCTCTGGAAGGAATCTTAGAGATCATCTTATCTAGTGACTATACAAATTCTTTTGACTAAGACCCATAATAAGAAATTTGTTTTACATCATGACCCTGTGTACACATACATGTATAAAAAGCAAAAATTTCATCAAACAACTTCAACTCTATATGTGATGTACTCAGTATTTTTCCTTTTGTTTCATTAAAAAAAATATTGGTGGCTGCAGCCTCCTAACTTGGCCCAAACCTAATGTTTGCCTAATGTTTACTCTTTCTTCCCTTCCTATTTTTACAGATAAATTTTTATTTGCATCACAGTGCTACTAGAAAAGTTAGACTTCTAGTATGTGTAGGGTTTAGTTACCTCAAGAGTAGAAATACTTAGTTCTAGGATGGCAGATATTGCTTCCTATTTTTACAGATAAATTTTTATTTGCATCACAGTGCTACTAGAAAAGTTAGACTTCCAGTATGTGTAGGGTTTAGTTACCTCAAGAGTAGAAATACTTAGTTCTAGGATGGCAGATATTTAATGTTTATGTTACAGCCATATTTCAATATACCCTTCCCTCACCAGCCAGTCCTAATTAGAGACATTGCTAATTGAACGAGGCTTATTCCTGCTGAGTCAAGAAATATCTTTAGAATCCTTTTCAACATAGTGGTACTTCATAAAACCACTGTCAATTAATGGGTGAAATACTGGCTTTTTAAATAAAATCTTTAGGCCATCAGATTATTTTGCTCCTATCTGTGAAGATCAGAATTACTCAGACCACCCAACACTTTCTTGCGTTCCCTCCCATTCAAATCAGGGTAGAATAAGAAAAGAGCCCTCCTGTTTTCATTATCTTCCTCTCCTCTCCTGTCTTATGGTAAGCTTTGTTCTACCAATGATCATGTTCCTTTCAAGTTATTTATTTGTTTTTAACCGCATGATCTTTTGGGATTACGTGTATAATGTGGTAAAAAGCATCAAAGTTTTCTGTGCAGTGCCTTGTATATAGGAATTTCTCAATAAATACTGTTATTACTGTTCCCAAGTATTTCACCTATCCCCAAATCTCTTTTTCTCTTGAACTCCAGGCCTGTTGTATCTGTCTAACTACATGTTCTATAGACACCTGAAATTAATTTTACCCAAGCAAGTTCTGTTCAAAATCTTGAACACAGTTAATTTCATTGATTTCATTCCTATCTGTGATTTCTGGTGGTGTAGGCAAAATATGACACTCAGGAGAAAGAGAAAACATGCCCGTTCTTTAAGGGAGAGACAGAGTTTCTCTAGGCATTGAAATCAGGAAGAAATTTCATACAATAAGGGATACTGAATGATAGATGGTGGTTCTCAAAAATAGTTTTACAACAGATGTGAAGTGGATATCCATAATATATAACTTAGGTAAAACGATTCTGAGAGGTTAGGCTAATGTGTTCCTTTGGCCTAACCTGATCTAAGTATACAATGTAGATTACCTAGAAGAAGACAATAGTCCCTCTACTATCTTCTCTAACTCATACTTTTCTTTGAGCTAATCATTCAGCAAAAGCTGGATAGCAGATGTACTTTGAAGTAAGAGACTTTTGTGACTTTTTGGAGTGCTATCTTTATTAGTTTCTATATTGCTATTAAAGTTGGTTACTTTATAGATGCTTTAGAAACCAGATGAGCAGATGGACGGGTTGGTGTTCTGTTGTGAAAACCTGAAGAATCTAACTAGCAGTGTCCACATATAAGGCTAGCCCCATATCTATGTGGAGGTTTACTGTAGTGGTTACCTGCAGGCAAAGCCAACATTTCCCGTACAAGTACCTGTAGTCAAAGCCAGCATTTTGTCAGAAAGCAGCTTTGTATCTCCTCCAGCAATTGAACAAGGGTTAACATTGGTGTATACAAAGTTTCCCATCCTGGATGTGGTCAAAGGACAGCAACTCTCCCTAAGAATACAGTAGCATTTTTAGTAGCATTTCACCAGTCTGAACTGGTGAGAACTCTGAAGTGTGACTTGAATAACACTCCTATGAGATTTCAGCATTTCTAATCCATTTTCTCCAGAGGCTAGTCCAATTTGTATCTTTTCTATATGCTTTATTAATATTCATATACTTCATAAGTACTATATTGAAAATTTTGAAGGACTTATACTTGTGAACATAAAGAGCAGCTCCTTCTTAATGAAGACATTCAAAGCCACATGTTTTTGGTTTGGTAGGTTTATTAAAAATGTTCTTCCTCCTCCTAAATAATATTGCTCTTTTGTTGTTTGTGAAGCTGAATTGCAAGCTTTCAAAATCAAACCTCAGAAAAAGTTGCTTAGTTGTGCTAAAAATGATTATGTACATATTCTGTAATACAAATGTTTTCCTTTTCCTGAAGAGTATAGAAGTTGATTTGCTCCTAGAGATGTCTAGCTGGTATCTGCTGTGGGCTTCAGGAGCTTGAGATGAGTGACGTGGAGAGTAGAGTGGGATCAGCGTCAAACCATGCGTCCCAAAGAACACACAGTTAACAGAAAATTCTACAAGACCTCCATTTGTTGTAGTAGAATTATGTTGTAGTGAATACAGTGATAGAACTTACAATTCCCAGGTATACATCCTGGAGAATAAACAACTCTAAAACCCAGTCTCTGTGTAGAATTTAGGCCAGTGAAAAGAAGTACTGTAGATACCGTAAGGTAAAGTGGTAGGGTTGTACGTATATGTTTCTTTCTTTGACATGTATACATGTCTTTTTTCTTCTATCCCATATCTTTTTGGTGGTGAGGCTTGGTTTCAGCTGGAGGCTTAACTGTCTGGGTGAGTTTTTCTAAGTGGTTTGTGATAATTGAATAGAATTGAAGGATAATTATTACTAGATGCTAGGACAGTGGAAAGGTAGAAAGCAGCTATGAGTTAGATCATTATGTCACAAGATGTCATTCAGGGACTCCTCAGGCTCTTTCAGGGGTCTGCTGACATCAAAACCACTTTCATAGTTTTGCTGTTTCATTTGCAGTCTCACAGATACACAGTGGAGTTTCTCAGAGGTTACCAGATGTGTAGTCACATCATTGCTCTGGTGGCTAATGGAATGTGTGCATGGGCATTAGTGTATTAAACATTTTTAATTTTTAATGCAGTAAATATCTACAGATATGCCAGACTTTAAAACAAAAAATTTGTGCCAGGTTTTCTTAATAAGTTTTAAGTGTGTAGGTGTTCTGAAACCAAAACATCTAAGAACTGTTAGTTTATTTTTATTTTTTTTCCAGGGGTACAAGACTGGTTTAATGTTTTCAAATCAGTCAATATAATTCACTGTGTTAAAAGGCTGCTTCTAGGTGGAGGAGGCAGCTGCCCTTGGCTCCTGCCTAGGACCCTGGGCACCCTCATTTCTCATCTATTTCCGGGCCGAGGGGGTGGCTGCCCTCAGCTCCTGCCTAGAAGCACCAGAACTGTTAGTTTATATATTGCCTCCCATAAAAAGAATTCAGCATGTACCCAGATACAGTATAACTGTAGAACCTCGAGTGATTTGAGACTTGGCAGATACAAATCTAGATATCCAAAACTATGATGAAATGCAAAGAATTGCACACAGAGGGACTTCTCCAGCATGTGTTTAATTCTTTCAACAACTTTTTTTTAAATTAAGGTGCTACTGTGTTTCCATCCAGTAAGGAACACAGTAGAAAATAATGCAAAATAACAGCTAACAGAGTTTATAATCTTTTGAAGGTAAGGATCAATATATAAAATATACTGGGAAAACTGAACCTCTATAGGTGATCATGTGTTAAGCAGTGTGGTATGAGAACTCAGAAAGATAAACCATAGGGAACAGACATTATTGTCTATTATTCCCATTATACTCATTGCACTGGGAAAACTGAACCTCTATAGGTGATCATGTGTTAAGCAGTGTGGTATGAGAGCTCAGAAAGATAAACCATAGGGAACAGACATTATTGTCTATTATTCCCATTATACTCATTGCCCTTTACAGTAGTTGTCTTTATTGATGTCTGACCCTGTTACACTGTAACCTCCTAGAGGCAAGGGACTCTCTAGTATGGATCCATGTATCTCTCCCAAGCACCTAGGAAAATACTTTGTACATTCACAGTCTTTAAGAAACATGAATGAATTTGTGGATTTGATACAGGCTTTCATTCTTTTTACATGTGAAATTTGTATTGAGCTCCTACTCTTAGCCATGTTGTATGGGTAGGTGATTGGGAGTTGGAATGCATTAATAGGGTGGATTTGAAAGATGAATAGGTTTGATCCTTAGAGAAGGAGGAAGCTGAAGGCTAGGGAAGTAGCATGTGCCAGGGCACAGGACACCTAGAGGCTAGAGAGGGCTTTGCATACTTGGAAAGTACATTAAGGCTCCTAGTTCAAACTTGTTACATAGCAGAATAGTGCAAATACATTCAAGGCACAAGATACAAGGTTGCATTATGTTTTTCTTCTGTAACTAGACGAACTCTGAAGGCAAAAATCATAGAGAGTATTTTGTTGCTTTACTGTTTCTATGGGAACTCACTGTAACCAGATGAGTCACTCTAACCACTGTGAATGTGAATCATTCTGTATCTTCTTTTTTTTTTTTCTTAAATAATAATAATAGTATTGTTATCCATTGTTTACCTGGGCCATATACTGTTGTTCGAACTTTGCTTCTTCTCATGGGGTACTATTATTTTCCCCATATTAAGATAAGGAAATGAAGCTCCAGCTGAGACTAACTTAACCTACCCTACCAACTGTGGTGGAGTCGAAATTCAAACCCAGCCAGTTTGAGTCTGAGCCTGTGTTCTTACCATTTGTCCTGCTCTATTTCACCCTGTGGTATGCTTAATCAAGGTTAATTGTTCCAAAACATAGAAGCAGAAGTCAGGTAACTCAGGTGATGAGACTGAATGTTAAGTTACAAGAAACTAATTTTTGTCAATAATGATGAAATTTCTAAAGAATTCAAATGCATTGGAATATTCCCTCTTGTATTTAAAAAATATATAATATATATATATATATATATATATATATTCTGAGCTGTATAATGTAAAGGTGATTTCATCAAAGGCCCTTAGACTGCTGTAGAATGCATGTTTATGGGATTTTGAAGTTTTAATATTTTTCTCATTTTTGTCTTAGGTTCCTTTACTTGGATGTTTGTCATTAAAAAACTTTTAATAAATTTATATTTCTGCCAAGTTCTTTGAGCTTTCTCTTTAAAAAATGCTCACATAAATACAGATTACTTTCAGTGTGAAATGTAGTCCTTCCCCTTTTCTCACTACTTCATGTAATGATTTGAATTTGACCAAAAGAGGGTAGTGAAAAGAATATGTACTACAAGTGTGCCCAAAGATGAGACAACAATCCTCACTAAGAATGATCTAATTCTTCACTTGTGAATAGTGATCAGTTCTTAGAAGTGACTTTTTTCCTTTTAGAGAGCTTAAGTATCAATTTCTCTTTATTCAGAAAACACATGTACTACCTCTACTATACTAGTTTTGCTCATTTTCTAAATATTTAGCTTTTATTTAAATGCATGATATAGTAACTAAGATATGTCAGTATTTCATATAAGAAGTAGTAAAGTGGTTTATTTAAAAATGCTTTTAATTATATACACGGTAAAATTATTGAATCTTGTGATGGCCATGTGTAGGAGTTTATTGTATCATTCTCTCTACTCATGTATATATTTGAAAATTTTCCTTGCAAAACAAACTGCCTAGTATGAAAGTGATTTTAGAAATTTGTTTGCACGGGCCGGCCCGGTGGCGCACTGGATAGTGTGCCACTTGGGAAGCGCGGCGGCGCTCCCGCCCAAACTGCCTAGTATGAAAGTGATTTTAGAAATTTGTTTGCACGGGCCGGCCCGGTGGCGCACTGGATAGTGTGCCGCTTGGGAAGCGCGGCGGCGCT